CCCCCCCCCCCCAAAAAAAAAAGGTATCTTAAAAATTTCTTTTTCCCCCAGACAGGGTTCTTAGTGCTGAATAGGCATGTGCCATCATCCTTGGCTTAATTTTTCTTTACTATACGTCTCTGACACAAAACTAATTGCGTTTGTCTTGACATTGTGTTTGTGTGTAGATGTGTGTGTACTCCTGCATGTGCCACAGCGTACAAGTCAGGACAACTTTGGGAGTCTGTTGTCTCCTTCCACTATTGGGGCAGTCAGACTTGACAGCAAGCACTTTTACCCACAGTCATCTTGCCTGCCCTGCCTCTGGTTTCTTTGAATCTCTTTCTATTTTTATTTTGAATGAGAAGTTATGCTTGAGTAAGATTGAAGAGTTGAATGTAGTATCATTTAGGCCCCTTAACTTTTGTATGAGAGAGTGCCAGAATTGAATCCAGGGCCTCACACTTGCTAATCTGTATTGATTCTACAACTGAGCTACTTTCCCGGAGCCCTTGGCATTTTAAGTGTGTTTTATGCATGTAAAACATAGTTTATATTTAGACTTTAGTGATGATAATTAGGGGGATTATAGATTGGTTTCTACCAAGTAAGCTTTTGGAGAGATTTATATTTATCAGTTTGGATCAGTTGCTTATAATGAGTAATAATGCTATGATTCCTCTCTCAGATGTGTTAGTGAGCACATCCTGGGCACAGTCAGTGGAAGAGAGCAGTACTGCGGAGGATCAAGAAGACTCAGGTGGATTAAACACAGATACTGCAGATGCTCCACGTGTTCCTTCTGCCAACGCAAATGAAGAGGAACAGTTCGAAGCAGAGGAACCATTCTAACTTGGACTAACCAGAAATGTTCCAAGTAGCCAGACTTCTACAACAGAATCCTGCAGAGTTTGGGGCTATTTGTAAGTTTTTCTACTTTGTATAAGTCTAAGTTATAAAACTTCTATGGATTCCTGCTTAAAATACAGTGACTATTTATAATTGTGTTTCCTACTTATTTTAGTACATCTATTATTTTTTGCTGTACTGTATAAATTTGACTTTATAAATTGCTTCCAGTTTGCACTGAATTATTTCTCACTAAACTGGGTAATGTTTTAAAATGTAAATATGCACTGACTATTAAGGTCTTTTTTAAAGAAATAAATATTTTGCAAATAACTCAGGATTTGAGAGATGTGAAGACAGGGAAGTGTCTCAAGACTTTGCCTGCCCGCTCGGACCCAGTCAGCCATTCATTTTAACTGTGATGGATCGTTGATCGTGTCCAGTAGCTATGATGGCCTCTGCCGCATCTGGGACACTGCCTCTGGCCAGTGCCTGAAGACGCTCATCGATGATGACAGTCCTCCAGTGTCCTTCGTGAAATTCTCTCCAAATGGCAAACATATCCTGGCCGCAACTTTGGACAACACGCTGAAGCTCTGGGACTACAGCAAGGGGAAGTGCCTGAAGACATACACTGGCCACAAGAACGAGAAGTACTGCATATTTGCCAACTTTTCCATGACAGCTGGGGAGGGTATTGTGTCTGGTTCTGAAGATAACCTGGTGTACATCTGGAACCTGCAGACCAAGGAGATTGTGCAGAAGTTGCCGGGTCACACAGTTGTTGTGATTTCCACGGCTTGTCATCCAACAGAGAACATCAATGCCTCGGCAGCATTAGAGAATGACAAAACCATCAAACTTTGGAAGATGACTGCTAAGTCCTGGCTCTACAAGAGACTTCAGGAAGCCGCCCGGATTGTCAAGAAACGCATGGGGCGGCAGAGGTGTGGGGTCAGGCTGGGGCGACAGGCCTGGTGTACCGCCTCTCTGAAGATGTTGGGTCAGGGGAGTGCACACTACCTAGTCTTGATAGCCACTGTGATATTTCTTGCCAATTCTGTCCCTGCCTGTTCTGTGCTCAGAGGTCGCAAATTTTTAATTTTTTATTACAAGAGTGAGTTCAACTCATCATGGGTTGTTTTTCCCAATAATTGTTCTGTATCTTTTTGGTATTGTATTGTTCAGTTCACACACTGGAGCAGGACCTACAGCCCCACTCCCACTCCCTACCTCCAGCCTTGGCCTGACTGTAATAGTACCCAGTGTGTTTCCAGGAATTTTTTTCTTTTTTATTTATTTATTTATTTATTTATTTATTTATTTATTTATTTATTTATTTATTTATTTATTATGTATACAATATTCTGTCTGTGTGCCATGTCTGCAGGCCAGAAGAGGGCACCAGACCTCTTTACAGATGGTTGTGAGCCACCATGTGGTTGCCGGGAATTGAACTCAGGACCTTTGGAAGAGCAGGCAATGCTCTTAACCACTGAGCCATCTCTCCAGCCCCCTCCAGGAATTTCTGGAAACAGAAAGGTTCTAAGTTGTATCTGTGTCAAGTCCCTTTGTTTTTTGGAGTTCATAGGTCAACACTGACCTCTCAGTGGTTGCACAGTGTCCCCTTGTCTTTCTGGTGTCACTCAGTAAGCTACATACACTGTAATAAAAGGTGGGTTTGAAACCTCTGTGACCCTGAGTTCTGATGGGATGGGCTCATCCCATCCATACCTGGCTTTTAGGGCAGGGGTTGGAAAGGTCTCTGGGAAGATGAATCCTTGCTATGCCTCTTTCTTAATTGTTGCTGTGGGCACTAACTGTTTTTAGAGGAGGACCCTCAGTTGAGAAAGAGTGGAACTCTTTTTTTTTTTTTTTATTTTGGTTTTTCGAGACAGGGTTTCTCTGTGGCTTTGGAGCCTGTCCTGGAACTAGCTCTGTAGACCAGGCTGGTCTCGAACTCACAGAGATCCGCCTGCCTCTGCCTCCTGAGTGCTGGGATTAAAGGCGCGCACCACCATCGCCCGGCAAGAGTGGAACTCTTGGACAGACTTCCTGGTCCTCTCCATTCTGCTTGTGGCTCAGAGTCATCTGTGTAGGAGGGAGGGGTTCAATGTGGTACTTATCCCAGCAGGTACAGACTCTTGCCTTGGCCTCTAAACCTACCAGCCTCTCTTAGTCCCTGCACCAAATGGATCCTCTGTCCTGGCTTTTGTGTGACCAGGACTGGGAAGAGGTGATGGCCAGACTCAGAGCTGCACAGTATTTTTACAACTTCTGGCCATACTCAGAGTGGCCTGCCATGGAACAGTGCAGAGGTTCTATGGATATTTCTGGTCCAGATAAATGGGTCAGGCTGATGGACACAGGCACAGGCTGCAGAGAGGTTGTGGATTAGTTGTGGCTGCTGCAACCTGCATAGAGAACAGATCTCTATGGAGCCAAGTCAGCCTGGTCTGTGGCTGCTGACGTGGGTTCTGGCAAGCCCCAGGCATCTGTTGGATAGATGTACCTAGGTTCTGGTCAGCATTGTGGGCATGCTGCTGTGGGGTTTCTGCAGGGGTGGTAAGGTCCTTTTAGCTGTGGCCTGGTGTGGCTCTCTCCTAAGGGAGGGAGCTTGCTTGCCATGCTGAGTGCAGTATCCCTAAGTATAGTTTATTTTTTCTACAGTTGAACTCTGTTGTAGATTTATGTAAAAATACATTCTCTTTTTGAAAATAAAGGTTTCCATGTCTTGTATAATACTAACAACAACAACAAACCCAAAAAACAAAAACAAAACAACAATCACCAGTTTATATATAGGGAGCTAGTTCTACTTTAATAAGGTAAGTTCTACTTTAATGAGGTAAGGGAACATGCACGCATATGTGAAGTACCCACTTAATCTCCTTCCGCTAGAACATCAGGTGACAAGGTTTAACTCTGAAAAGACAGTACAACATCTATGAGAAAGCTCTTTATTGAAGTGGAAGGATTTCACATTGCATGACTGTCTGAAACATCTAGAAGAGCAAGGTCCCTTATCTCCTCCAGAAGCGAGTACAGACTTCTTCCCTTTGTTTGGCAGTATTCCTGACACTCCTCCTGTAGTACCTTGCCTTTGACTTCTTGGGCGAGCTGAGCTTCTTCCACAGACCGGGTCACTTCTTTCACTAACTCACTCTTCAGCAAGAGGGAGCTCTGATGGCACAGTTCTGGGTTTGGCGTCATATATGGTTTGTTGCTTATTATTTCAAGCCTGATTGTATCCGAGTGGCAACGCAAGGCCTGGACAGATATTCTTACCTAGCACAGAGAAATACACGTTACTACATCGTGTCTTTTTTCTTCACATTGAAAACAAGGCTGAATATACACAGACTTACTGTTACATGGTCAAACAGATGAAATGTGACAGACTGCCCTCCGGCCGTGGTAGAGGTGATCTTGTTCTGAGACCGTTGTAGGGATCCTGGCATCCATTCAGAGCTGTTCTCTGGGCCACATGAGATCACTAAGCCATCTTTATTCCTTAGATAGGCAGCACCTTTAATGCCGAACCTAAATCACCGCCAGGGTAAAACCGAGATAATGTATTCTTAGGGTGCAAATCTTCTATGCTGAGCCACTCCTCTGTGGTTTACCTCCGAAACATTTTTACAGAGCAGATAAGAAACAATGCTTTGCTAGCTAAGAAAGATCCTAGGACTGATGTATGTATTCCCACTTGCTCCTGCTATTTCCTGATTGTACATACAGTAATTTTATGAATAGTTTATGTATGTAGCATTGTATATGTTAATATATAGAGACTTTGTTGAGAAAGTTTCACTCCATAGCTGTGGCTGGCCTAGAGCTTGCTTTGAAGACCAGGCTGGCCCTGAACTCAGAGATCTGTTTGTGTCTGCCTCTTGAATGTTGGGATTAAAGGCATGTACCACCATGCCAAGTTTATATTCTTTTTAGAGAGAAGGACTCAAAGTGCAAGTTGGCATCAAAATCATTATGTAGCTACAGATAACCTTGAACTTCTGATCCTCTTGCTTTACAGGCATGCATCACCAAACCTGGTTTATGTGATGCTGGGGATCAAACCCAGGACTTTATATGTGTTAGCAAGCAGGCACTCCACCTTTGAGCTACACACCCTCAGTCTAAATAAATATTTTACTAAGTTACATATATGTATCATTTGTGTTCAACACTGTATAGTTTAACTGTGATTTCTTACTAGGCACTGCACGAGAGGTAACATACCTTGGTATAAATACAAGCACACCATTTGTTCTAATCGAATAAATAATTCCATCGGCCATGCAGCGCTCCTCCGTTTCTGAGTCTTTGTCTTTAAAGTACATGCACTGGAAGAGCTCAGTGGACTGCTTCTGAGAATGCTGGGCCGCCTGTAAGAAGCACAACACCAAGCATGACAACAGAGTTCCCTGATGTCCAGCAAGAAACCTGAAACTCCCACAGAAACAGCTTTTAAATGGGCAGGATTCTACAGTGTGGTGGTACAAACTTGTAATCTCAGTACCTGGGAGGCTGAGACAGGAGGATTGGCCATATAGAGAGAGTTGTCATCTCAACTAAACCAAAGAAAAAGACAGAGCAACCCTATCTTAGAAAAGAAAAGGAAAGAAAGAAAGAAAGAAAGAAAGAAAGAAAGAAAGAAAGAAAGAAAGAAAAAAAATAGATGGAGCAGCAGGCAGGTGAGATGTGAAAGGAAGGGTCAGTGGGCAAAGGCACTTTCTGTGCAAACCTTGTCACCTGAGTTCAGCCCCCAGCGCCCATGTAAAGGCTGAATATGGTGGTGCATATCTGTAAGCCCAGCATTCCTACAAGATGGGAGACAGAGATGGGAGACTCGGCCAGACACTGCAACTGTACTTGCCAGCTATCCTGGAGTGCACAGTGCAGCAGCAGAAACAAGTTCTCAAAGACATGGTGGAAAGCAAGAACCAATCCTGAAAGTCATTCTTACTCTCTGTTTCTCTCTCTGCCCCCCCCCCCCCCCCCCCCCCCCCCCCCCCCCCCCCCCCCCCCCCCCCTCTCCCTCAACACACACACACACACACAGTAAGACTGGTGAGATGGTTCAGTGGTTAAAGGCATTTACTGCCAAACTTGACAGCCTGAGTTCTATCCCTGGAATGAAGATGGTAGAAAGAGATTACTAACTCTGACTTTCACTTGAATGAACAGATACATACACATAATAAATAAATAAATAAATAAATAAATGGAACTAAGAGATTTTAAAGATATAATAATTAAGCCAGGTGGTGGTGGTATATGATTTTTATCCCAACACTTGGGAAACAGAGCCAAGTGGAATTCTGTGAGTTCAAGGCCAGCCTGGTCTACATAGAAAAACCCTGTCTCAAATCACCCCCAAAACTCTAGACAATGCTAGGTTTTTTTTTTTGTTTGTTTGTTTGTTTGGTTTTTTTTTGAAACAGAGTCTCATTACTGTGTAGTTTTGACATCCCAGCATTTGGGAAGCAGAGGTCAGACTGGTCTATATAATGAGACTGTCTCAAAAACAACAATCAAACAACAACAACAAAACCCCCACAAATTCATGTTATTTCAGAACACTAGTAGTTGTATTAAGAGCACTGGTTACAATAATGGAGTTTGCAAAAATATATGGTACCCCATTTTCTTTTTTTTTTTTTTTTTTTTTTTTTTTTTAAGTTTTTCGAGACGGTTTCTCCGTAGCTTTGGAGCCTGTCCTGGCACTAGCTCTTGTAGACCAGGCTGGCCTAGAACTCCCAGAGATCCTCCTGCCTCTGCCTCCCGAGTGCTGGGATTAAAGGCGTGCGCCACCACTGCCCGGCGGTACCCCATTTTCTTATGCAGAAAGCTGAAACCCTTTTATGAGATAGGTAGGAATTTGAAATTCTTTCTTACTCGGTTTCTGTTGTTGATATGTCGGCATAATTCCTCAAGATCTTTGTTGCTGAACAAATTTTCTTTAATTTCCATCTTCTTGTCTTTTGAAATGGCTGCCATTAATAGTCGGTGTACAACAATATCTGAATATCTTCTTATCGGAGAAGTAAAGTGGGTATACTTATCTAACGCAAGACCTTCAAAAGGAAACCAAACATCAGAATAAAGGCCAGACAAGCGCACTTTCGAAAAGGTTTGTCAGACAATGCTGTCAGTCACCGTAATGCTGGAACTCCTCCTCTGCACAGGAGCCGGTGGAGAAGTAGAGGGCATTGGACATGGCCTGAGTAGCCATGGAGCGCAGCAGCTGGTTCACCAGAGGGTCACTGGGGTCGTTGGCTCTATCCAGAGAGTCAGCCAGGGTTTTATTGGACCTAACCAGAAACAGAGAAGCCTTGATGGGTCAAAAGGCAATTTACAGGTGACACTTTCCACTCCTTGGTTTAATTGTCTTCATCTACCAGCAGTTAAATTCATTTTAGCCACAATTTTCTTCTTTTTTTTTTTAAATATTTATTTATTTATTATGTATACAACATTCTTTCTACATGTATGCCTGTAGGCCAGAAGAGGGCACTAGACCTCATTACAGATAGTTGTGAGCCACCATGTGGTTGCCGGGAATTGAACTCAGGACCTTTGGAAGAACAGGCAATGCTCTTAACCGCTGAGCCATCTCTCCAGCCCCACAATTTTCTTCTTAATACAAAAATCTAGGTTGCTTTTAAAGTTTAAATGAAGATTGTTAGAATTTAAATTTTTAAAGTTATTTATTTTAATATATATTTCTATGCATTTATATGGTGCAGCAGCCCACTGAAGCCAGAGGCGGCATTGGGTCCTCTAGGACTGAAGTTAGAGCCAGTTGTGGGCTGCTATGTGGGTGCTGGGAATCAAGTCTGGGTTCTCTGCAAGAGCAGTCAAATCAGTTTGCTCTTAAGTGCTAAGCCATCTCTCCAGCCCTCAGAATTTATATTTCATAAGTAGTATAGTGTCCAATTAATGCAAGTCTAAGTCAATGCTCGACGGAAATAGGTGGTCAGGTTCCTGTGGAATTATACATTCTTTTGTGTGTGTGTGTGTGGGGGGGGGTTGAGACAGTGTTTCCCTGCGTAGTCCTGGCTGTGCTGGAACTCATCACTCAGTAGACCAGGCTGGCCTTCAACTCAGAGATTTGTCTGCCTTTGCCTCCTGAGAGCTGGAATCAAAGGTCTGTATCTCTGTCCCCACCACACACATAGTGGTGTTACATTCTTTTTGTTTTTAATGTTTTTTAAACACTGATTTTTCTTTTTAATTTAACTTGATTTTATGTGCATTGCTATGAAGGTGTCAGGTCCCCTGGAACTGGAGTTACAGACAGTTGTGAACTGCCATGTGGGTATTGGGAATTGAACCTGAGTCCTCTGGAAGACCAGCCAGTGCTCTTAATCATTAAGTCATCTCTCCAGTCCCTGGTGTTGCAATCTTAATACACTCAATGCAAGCATCCTATACAGATCAAAGAATGGGCATTTTTAAATTTTATTTATCAAGAATTATTTAGTTGGAGGGAAGCTTCAAAAACAAAATAGCAGGAGTGGGCACACACTCCTGTGCTCTGGGCACTCCAAAGGCTAAGCCAGGAAACCAGCATCAAAAACAAAAAACAGCCGGGCGGTGGTGGCGCACGCCTTTAATCCCAGCTCTCGGGAGGCAGAGGCAGGCGGATCTCTGTGAGTTCGAGACCAGCCTGGTCTACAGAGCTAGTTCCAGGACAGGCTCCAAAGCCACAGAGAAACCCTGTCTCGAAAAACAAAACAAAACAAAAAAAACAAAAACAAAAAAAACAAAACCAACCAAGCAACCAAGCACAGTACTTTCTGCCACTCCTTTGCCCCCTCAAAAGAGGATTACCGTGTGTCTATGAAGAAGCCTTTCGCTTTAGCGCATTCCCGG